CGACACTGCACCACGAGAGGGAGACTACTTGATAATTCTTTCCACTACCACCAACCTTTACAACTTGTAGTATCTCACCGCGACAAAAGAAAGAGATGAAGAAAAATAATGTTAAAATAAAAGAAAAATATTTTACTCATGTAGGAGGAACTAAAATAGGTTATTAGTGGAATAGATTGTGAATGGGTAAAATTAAAAAAATTAACCCTAAAAATAAAATTTTATTTAAGGGCAAAATAGTAAAGGAGAGGTGGAGAAGAAAGGTGTGGTGGTGGAGGGAGCAACACCCTTTTAAGAATTATCGAGTTGCAGTTAGAAATTATAAGGGTGTGGAAAGTTAAAGGTGACTTAAATTGGGGGTGCAAGAATAAACATGAAAGTGCATGAAAATATGGCTCATTTGTGAACTTTAAATTGGGCCAACTTCTTTATTAATTAACACTTTTTACATTTGACTCATTCATGCACCTCCATGTTTTCTTCTTACACCTCATAAAATTTAAAATTCCAATTTTACTATTAAACCAAAAAAATCCTAAAATGCAAAATCTTCACTCAGCTGTGCTGCTCCACCTCCCTCCTACATGAATTCTGGAATAGAGTAATTTTAGATTTGGAAGTATTTTGAATTCTACATTCCAAGGAATAATGTAATGTTAGATTTGAAAATATTTTAGACTGTACAATCTAATATATAAAAATATATTTTAGATTATATAATTTAAAATGCTTTAACATCTGAAATTACGTTACAAAATATAGAATTTGCTATGTTAAATTAGAAGATGAATTTTGAACATTTGCTTAAAAGTGAAATTGGTCCTTTGAAGGAAATATATGTTTTGGTCTAAACGGGGAGACAAAGATTTATCAAAGTAGTCAATGTGTCACTTTGTAACGCTTCGTTATATTATGGCTGTAAATGAAATAATGTCAACAAAATATTTAATATCAAGCAATTATACATTACTTTATAATATTTTTACAATTATTTTTTCCTTTCCGTTTCTCATGGGAATAAAGAATATATGGATTTGAAGTGAATTTACTCTTCCTATTTTATATTTTCATTCAATAAAAATATATATAATAAATTTATGTTAAAATAATTTTAAAAAAAAATACTAATAAAAATAATGCTTGATATAATAAACACTTATATAAAAGTGATGTGTATTTTAAACATTTTAAGATTTCACAACATTATGCAAATTCTTTACTTTTTAAACAATTAAAATGATAATGTAATGTTTAAGGAGTATCACAATAATTTTTCAAAAAAAAAAAAGAAATCTGAATAAGAAACTAAAATCATATAATTTTATAAAACAAGAAACAATGAGCATAATTTACTAAAAACAAATTAAGAGAAATGAATATATTACTTTTGTCAAATCACTTGAGTCCTGTTTGGATACACATAACACATTAAGGAAGGATGGGACCACTCCTCACAACCAACCCGATGATGGAACATGGCATTGCTTTTGCATGAAGTTTCTTATAACTAAAAATTCTAAGTCCTGTTTGGTTTACGATTATTTTGTAGTGTTTCATGTTAAAAAACTATTTATTTTTAATTCTCAAATTTCCATGAATGCTTGTAAAGGTATCTATAAAAATATGTGATTACTTATTAACAAGACCCTCACGTTTATTAACTTACACTTTATACTATAAGATGAGCTTAACTTTTACCAATCTTATTCAGTATAGATAAATATGATAAAAAGAAATTGCGATTTAACTGATTTAACTTACCAATATTTTTTAATTTCATCTTCTAATGCATCTGGAATTATGAATCCAACCACTAATAGATATATTAAATAATATTAACAAGAAATAGTGTAATCTAGGTTGCAGAACTAATTGAAACTCGAAGTTTAAAGTAACAGTCTAACAGATCGTGAAGGAGTTAAACAGTGCAACAAAGAGGAAGGAAAGTTGAAACATTTTAGACAGTGGCATGTGGGAATCTATTCTACTGACGGTGGCTGCCACCGCCGGCAACAACATTGGAAAGATCCTTCAGAAGAAGGGCACTATCATTCTTCCACCCCTTTCTTTCAAACTCAAGGCATGTCAAAGTTCCATTTTTTTTGTGTGTTTTAAATTGGTATGATTTGGTTTTTATTAAAGATCTCACCTTTTTTTGAATAAATTGCCATTTGAAGCATGTGGGTGTCTTTTAATTTTTGAAATTGTTATTAGTTTCTATTCCTGCGTTTATTTGGTGTGAGTGTAAAATTTAACATTTTCCATCAATGTGTATGATTGAGTGGTAATGGATAAATACCAAGATTACGTTCTTCTTTGTCCTTTTTCATTTAAGATTATGTGGGGTTGTAGTGAATGTTTGGTTATTGATTCCATTGTGTTTGCAGGTCATAAGGTCTTATGCTTCAAACAGAACCTGGGTGATTGGTTTTCTAGTGGATATATTTGGGGCATTATTGATGTTAAGGGCATTGTCTTTGGCTCCAGTAAGTGGTGAAGAAAAAAATTGACACTCAATTTGAAGGGCTTTTTGTAATCCTCTCATCTATTGTTTTGCTTAGGTTTTTGGCAATGTTATGGTAATTTTCTTATGTTAAATCTGTTATAGGTCTCTGTCATCCAACCAGTTTCTGGCTGTGGACTAGCAATTTTATCACTTTTTTCCCATTTTTATCTCAAGGAAGTCATGAATGCTGTTGATTGGGTTGGCATTACATTGGCAGGTTTTGGCACAATAGGTAAAGTAAGTTTATATTTACCATAGAGCATTTTGTTTATTGTTTACCTTAATCTGCTTCATTTGAACTCCTCGACAAGCAAGGTTGATGTAGGGGAGGGGGATAACTTTGCAATAGAAAAGGTGTACTGAAATCAGGAAAACAAAATATAAGTTTTTGTAGTTCATTCTGTTCATTTTGATTGGGTGATGACTTTTTTAGCTGTTGGCGTAGTTCAGAATTCAGATCTACATAGAATTAAGTGTTTGCTGTATGATTTATTTGTGTGTACTATTGTATTAAACTCCTGTGTCTTGTGGACCTGAGCAATGGACTGAAAATTTCTTGAGTTTTCCTCCTTATTTCATGGCTGCTCAGAAAACTAAGTTTGTATTGCAGGGTCATTGTATTAATGTGTTTTTGTATTTACAAAATACTAATTGGTTAAGTATCGTGCGTTTTTTCTATGTTTAGGAGTTGGTGCTGGAGGTGAGAAGCATGAAGTGGTTGCTCTATCTATTTTTCGGTTACCAGCGTTGGCATTTGTTGTTTTCATCTTGTTTGTAGGTACCTTGTCTTATGAATCAACTTATTTTACAGTCAAGTGCCTTTATGAACAGAGATATCTAGCATTCATAAGTTTGTATCACTCGATTTTGATATAGTAACAATGTTGTGAGGAAATACTTGAAATCACTGTGAAAGAAGGATAGTGGTATTCTAGTATTAATTAGAAGCCTATGCATGTTGTTGATGCCAAACGTACATCGTGCTCAATGAGAGGCATATAATCCATGCATGAACTTGTATATATTTCTAAAATCACAATTCTTATTTGTATGAGAAAAACGTTATCTGATTACTTTATAAAATGGTTTTACCACTTATTTTTCACGGGATGTTATTTTCCTCTCTATCTGGTGCATCTAAAATGCAGAATTCTGATGCCTTCCTTAATGGATAATTTTATATATTTCTTTGAAGTAAATTTGTTATTTGATTGCGAGGCAATCACATTTTCATATTCATTTTAATTAAAAGTTACTCCTTTGTTCTTGAATCTATGCATGTCATATTCACCAACTTCCTTGCTAAGTCAATACAATGTGAAGGCATTTTGCAGATAGAATTATTAGAATACTATTTTTTACTCTGCAATTTATTAATGATCTATCTGTATGAGATTATGAGTTCACCAATCACCTGTGCAATCAAGTGGTATTACTGCCTTCCAGACATTGTTTTTAATTTAATTGTTAGAAAAATTTGTGCAGATACTGCTTAATGGATGGGTTCGAATATGCAAGAGTCAACGAAGAGAACAAGAAATGGTATTCATGATTTATACGTGTTAGATAGCCTTAGATTTACGTATATATTTTCATGTAAAACACCAACGAATGGTGGTTTATGAGCCATGTTGTTTTCTGCTCTTTTATCACTTGACATTTTTAAGTTAATACAGATGGAATATGATGTCGTTGAGGAAATCATCTATGGCTTGGAATCTGGTATTTTGTTTGGGTACTTTTGTTTCCTTATTCACTCTTTTTTATGTATTCCATTAATTTTCACATGCTTCTCACTTTTTCTTATACCTCAACTGCCTAAGACCAGGAAGACTTCTGACAATTGAATTAATAGTTGCACGATGCAAAACAATTAAGCATTACATGGTTTGGAGTTTAGACTTATTATTTTCGTAAATTGGTAGTTTCATTTTTGGGATCAAAGAAGGTTTTTAGATAGAAATGAGAGGAACACAGTTAGGAGAATAATATGTGTGTGTCTGTGTGTTATGAAGGGATTGATAACATCCAACACTCTTGTGCTTTGACATTTTGTTGGAGATTTTACATTGATTAGAGATTCGGCCAAATGAGAAGATATAAGTAGATGCAATTGTTACCTTATGGGCCAATTTTGTAAAGTTGAGTTAGACTTAAAATATACTTCATAAGATGGTATTAGAGTCTATCTCAATGAGGTTTGTTGAGCTTATCATGTCACCCGTTAACGAGTCATCGTCATACCATCTATAAATATCTAGTCTCATGCTTAAGATTTCTAGTCTTTGGTATTAGAGGATGTGTTGGAAATCTCACAACAAGGTTGAGTTTGGTTTAAAATCTATTTCCTATCACATTCCACATATTATTTTGAACTAAACCCAACTTTATATCATTAAAAACTTGAAATTATGGCCAATAGTGTCGTTTTTACATTTTTTTTGTTACCCTGACGACATCTTTTCTCATATGTGTGCCTCTTCTATGTAGTTTACTTTTATTTAGAGGTTGCCACTGTCATCATGCCATAGTATATTTAAAGACAGATGCAACCAGTTCAGTCAACTTGAAAGTGCAACCACTTAAGGCAACTGATCATGGCAAATGAAGCTTTTGAAAGATATTACCAGAAACTTCTTTGTTGTAAATATTCAACATCATGTTAGTTTTGACAATTTTATGTAGCTGCGTATGCAGTTATGACATGACTGAAGCCATTTATATAGCTTACTATTGCTTTCTGTTAGCTTATGATTTCAACATTTTTTTTTGGAGATTAATTAGAAATTTAGATTTATTGAACACCATTGCTATTTGCATGACAGATAACAAAACATTTACATAACTCTTACTTTTCTTTACACCTAAATGCAGGATGTCATCTGTAATATCAAAGATAGGATTTCTATTCCTGGATCAAGGTTTCCCCAGGCTGTTGGCTCCTGTGTGCATCCTGATCAGTGTCTGCTGTAGTGGCACAGGCTTTTACTACCAGGTATTCTGAAGAGCACTTTTATATACTATGACGAGAACTGTTACACCCTTGAGGCATGCCATGGAGGGAAATTAACCCTTATCAAACCCCTAAGGAACTTGTCCAATTTCAGAGATGATAAACTCTTGAAATAATCACTATCTTCCCTCTCCTGCAGACACGTGGTCTAAAGCATGGGAGAGCTATTGTGGTTTCTACATGTGCAGCTGTGGCATCAATTTTGACTGGTGTACTTGCTGGGATGTTTGCTTTGGGTGAGCGACTTCCTTCAGAACCGAAAGCTCGCCTCACACTTCTTCTTGGATGGTAATATAAGATGTTATGCTTTGTGTTTTACTGGTTACTTTTTTTCTTTCAGAACAAAGGAAAAGGCCAAAGGAAAAGGCCAAATGAAAATGCATACCTTCCATTTTTTACTCTATACACAATAACTATGCATGGTAGTCAAAGGAAAGAGGACTCAGGAGTATACCTGAGTATTCATGCTTTTGGAATGGTACGCAAGTTGAACTTTTTGATTGAAAGAGTCCATAATATTCATGCTTTTGGAATAGTATGAGGTTCTGGGGTGAAAGATACAAGGACTAGGTCTCTTTTACTACAACAATGTTAGGATCCAATTGTAAGGTATAAAACTTGAGTCCTGCATTGGAAGTATGGTATTCTGGGGTGGGATTTATGCTCTCCGACTGCAACAACTAGCTTTTGTTGTGATTCTATAATGGTTCCTATCAATTTCTTCCTCATTCAATAAAACAAGAATGAAACTGTGGTTCTCATCTTAATTGATCTTACCGATGGATTTGAGGTTAAAAGATTTCACGTCCATTGCTTTCCAATATTCGTTGCATCAAACAATGCAGAAACAAACATCAGCAGTTCAATATCCAGAAGAAGCTACATCACATTTGGTTGTCTGCTACAAACATTTGGTGGTTTTCATCTAATTTGTTCAGCCAGTAATTATTTGGGTTGGTGAATAAACTTAGCTAGATAACCATCATTCAAAACATTGATTGAAACTATTTTAGAAAGACCCTAATATCTAGTAATTCATTTTTCGCAAACAAAATGGAAATCTTCATGTTCTTATACACATGAAATACTGTGTTGCAGGCTACTTATTATTGTGGGTGTGATTTTACTTGTTGGCTCAACACGGCTAGTGAGATTTCTTTCTTGTTCCTCGAGTCAAAGAAGAAGCAATGTCGATAAGAATTTTGGCCTTAGAAGAACCACTTCTTCCCGTGTTAGGGAACCAAGTCCAAGTGCTATCATTCAAGCAGCAACATTAAATCATTTACTATCATCATCATCCAAAGAAAAAGCTTGAGCTGACATGTGCTGGGTCATGTTCCTTCATCCTTTGCAGAATATCTGAGCATTAAGTTGCTTTCTAATCCGATTGGCAAGGGCAGGGTGTGTTGTACGAGTATAGTGGCTGCTTCATCAGAGGATATTTTGGTGTGATCGTTCATTTATGATTCACACATTATGAATGAAATATGTGTTAACTTCTGAGGCCTCCTTGTAGAAACTTTTCATGAACTTCCATTATTTTTTTGTTTTCAAGGATTGTATATGACAGTGATGTGGATAGCATACCAATACCAACATACAAAATTTGTTTTATTTGCACTGAAACATATTTTGATGAAGAAAAGTTTATTCTTGTGCACTAGTGCAGTGGTGCTCTTTGCATATATAGGTGTTGCTTCGTTAGAAAGAAATGTTAATAACATATTTCTTGTAGAACATCCTACTGTTGGCAAAAAAAAAATTGAAATTATAAAATGTGTATCTTTATCAATAAATGTTCTAACAAAATTACATGATTTTGTATTTTTCAATATATTTTTATCAATAGAAGAGTGTGTTGCTATTACTTCTACTTGTTAGAATAGTCTGATGGAAATAATTTATTCTGACAAATTACTTCAAAACCACTGTTTATATAGGTAAATTTAAGGAGTGAAACTTCTTATTTCCGACATTTGATAATTCATCTAGATGTTGTATCTCATGATTTATTGACTACAAAATTGAACAACTAAAAAAAGAGGAAAACATTTTCATAAATCAAGTCTTTATTTGTTTATTTTTTGAAATTGTACTTATGCATAACTTTGGGGTGAAAACTTTTTGGAAACATTACACATGTCTAAATTATGGTTGAGGAAAGCACAAGTGGAAAAAGGTGCTCCTTTAGGAAGTAACAGCTTTCTCCACTGAACTTTGTGCTTTAGCCAAAGCAATTTGTCCACCATGACAAGCACAGACAAGAGGAAATACAATAGTGTAAAAAATCCATAACGAAAACTGGACCAAACTAATTAGTAACCAGAAGTAAAGAATCACTAGCAAGGGTCATACTATAAATAGTTCCTATACAATTTCCTATTCCACATTGTTGGCACCCTCAAATATGGCCAACTTGCACTGAAAAGCACAACATTTGTCAAGGCGACAGACTATTACAAGATTGCTTCAGCACTGAAGAGTGACATTTTTGGAAGGAAAATGTTATTTGGACAACAAAAGTTTGACACAATTTTGACAACGGCGACGTGGCAGCTGTGCATTGGCTCAGTGAATTGAAAACAAACCAGAAAAAACCCAAAATACCCCTCACCCCGGTTCACTGAGCCAATGCACAGCTGCCACGTCGCCGTTGTCAAAATTGTGTCAAACTTTTGTTGTCCAAATAACATTTTCCTTTTTGGAATTTGGCTAAAATACACTCATAATATAATAATTTAGAGTGTTCTACAATCAACTGTAAAATACAAAATCAGCAATCTTATACGCTAAGTTTTGTACAAGATAATTTACAGTGTGTTTTGACTAAATTACTTTAATAATTACTTTAAAAGTCAAATCTCTGATACTTTTCAATTAGTTTACCTTATAAAAAAATGTACACACTAAACACACTTTCTGTTAATATGAGTTCAGTAATGCAATAGACAGAAACTTGTAATTTGAATATCTTTGCTCCAAAGATATAGGTTTAGTTAAACCAAAAGTATGCGATAGTTATCCTAGCAGCATCCTTTTAGCATGTTAATAGGTGGACATTTGAAGACTTTTCTGCCCAGAAAGGGGAAGAAAATGAACTTGAGGTGGTTTTTTTCTTTTAAAAGAAAAGAGACTATAATGGTTGCCTGTTCAGGAAATAAATGACTCCAGTTTCATCTATACCATATAAAATGTCAATTATAAAGTAAAGTCTTCAGGTTTCACAAAAAGTGTAGGTTGTCCATGATTCACCTACATTGTCAAATTTTGGCACTGCATAGTGGAGCCTCATGCCAGCCCATAAGCACAACTGAGATTTTGACATAAAAATGCTAGTCACTATCTATTTGCAATTTCAATGCACTTTTACCCTTTTAACAGTGTTATGTAACAAGAAAATATGACTTTCTCACAGTGACTCAATTGACCATTAAATGAAATGATGCAAAACAGTAATCACGTATACCAGAACTTCAAAAAATCAATGCACAGTAACAAAAAACACATGGCCCTTGTATACATTTCAAGTAATGAAAAGTTGCATAAAAAACGTCTTTTTGAAAGGTCTTCAACCAATCAGAGATTCATTCTGTATTCTCCAGTCCTGCATAATTACCCAATTGCCTTGTCTTCCAGCTCTCATGAGGGGCTACATGTTCATGGGAAGGAGAATATTGCTGCAAAAAAGTGAATTTAGCATTTAGAGCTATAATCAACACGGTAACAGTAGTCCACAGTCTAAACATTTCGTTCACACAAAATAGGCCATAAAGAAGAAATTAAGAAAGAAAGAACACAGCACTTCAAAACCAATGTTACATACAAGCACTTTTTAAGAGTTTGAAAGTTGGAATATGGCCAAAGGATACTTATACTATCTATGTTTACAATTAGACGGGAAGCACAAAAATCCAATTTGTCAATGATCAGACAACCAAATGCCTTGAAAGTGATGAAATATGGAACAAAATATGAGCTCCAATATATTCTCTGGGCCAAGTCAGAAAAGATAGAAAGTTAAAGGCTCTCCTTCAATGGTCTATTTTAGGTATCCAATGGCAACTCTTTAACTGATTATTTTACAACAGCCTTAGCAGAATTCCTATACTGTACCATCAAACATGTTTAGCTAATTTTTTTTCTCACGAGTTTAGTAAATCAATCTACAATTCATCAGTTTACAATATTAATGCATTTTTTGTACTAGACATTTACTGATGTTTTCTTTCACATGTTAAGATACAGTTAGGCCTAGACCTCCAATTTCATCATAAGTTCTTTGGCTGATGAAGCCTCAACGAGAATATCCCGAGCACCACGCTTAATGAAGCCTTCTTTAACACCATTGTCAAATAATGCAAGCAAACAGTTATAGTAACCGTCAACATTCAGTAGACCAACCTGTGCAGGATGGTACTGAGTTAACATATGATTATATAGTATACCAAAGATTTTATACTATTCAGCTTACAGGCTTTTTATGAATTCCAAGTTGAGCCCAAGTTATCATCTCCAACAGCTCTTCCATTGTTCCATATCCTCCTAATTATAAGTCAAGGAGAGATATAAGAAAGAAACAGCAACTACTATGCATTCGGTACAGCAATACAGTACACCAAAATAGTAAATTTCAGTATATGAAAGAACATCCTTAGTAATATTTATATGAAATCACCCATCTTTTAAAAATTATTTGAAAGCTGTTCTTGTAACTACCAGGTAGAGCGATAAATGCATCAGCTTCTTGAGCCATTGCAGCTTTACGCTCATGCATATCTGAAACAATTCTCACTTCACCAACTGGTTTACCGGATATCTGTCAAAATAGCCATTTACAACGTACTAATAAACAACATATTCTCTCCCAAATAAATCATTATACAAAGTAAAAGAAGTGAAGAGCTATTAAGGGCTTATTTGGACATCAGCTAGAACTGCTTTTAAGAGCTTCTCAACAAGAAATATAGGAATTTTTTTTTTCCAGCAGAGATGCTACCATTTAACTTTGTGACCGAACAGACTCTTAGAAAACATAGCTTAGCACACAATAATAACCCCATCCCTCCAAAAATAAAAGAACTTTTTTCTAATTTCTTGACTCCAGTTCAGATTAATTTTTCAAAAAGATGGTATCTTTGACTTCAAATCATCACATAAATCCCAAACATAAACCAATATGAAACATGATGCAGTTCATTTCCAATGCTCAACTTAACTGTACACATAAAAATAAAGCAAGTAATCTGACACAGAATATTAAAGTTAACAGTTGAACAGGTAGTAGCACAAATACCTCAAGGGGCATGAGAGCTTTTGGAATAACCCTGTATATGTAGAGAGGGGGGGAAAAGGGAAAAGACAAATAAACAAAGAGTGAGACAAAATGATTAAAACAATAACAACAGGCTTGCATAGTGAATGGATAGGGCATCCATGATAGACACTACAAAACAAAGTATGTTGCTTTAGCATACCCAAGAACATGGCAGCCTCCATCATACATTCTCTGGGATATTAAGCCCATTAGCCCAACACTTCCCCCACCATACACCAAGTCAATGTTCTTCTTAACCTGTAATTCATTCCACAGAATAAAACACAAAAACACAGATAAAGACAAAAGTGAAGCTCTAGTATTCCCTCCACATATTAGAAAACAAAAATACCAAGTTTTGAGCATCACACTTTGTCATTATGTGACACACCAAAAAGTCAAGCACACTTAAAAAACCCCACAAAACTCTCAACCTTTTAATCAAAATTGATTTTTTTTTTCTGTAATTTATATTGACCTGTATTGATTGTAAAACTTTCAATATTGATAGGCAAAAAAGTACTGAGTTTTTCTTTAATGCATCTAAGTTTTATCTTTTTATGAAACCAATAATCCAGAGCAATAAATGTACCTGCAGAAGGTTGTTATCAAGAAAAAATCAGAGAAAGAAAGAAAAAAACAAGTTCTGACAACTACGTACCCAAATGCCCATTATGGCAAAAGATGAGTTTTTTATCACAAATAGAGAAAGGTAAGAAGAAAAAGAGTGTTGCAAAAGAAAGCTGACCAGTTCATTGGCCAGTTCAATGGTGGCGTCACTGAAAACTTGGCGATTACCGGAGTTGCTGCCGCAGAAGACACAGAGCTTCTTGAACATGATTTTGGGGAAACCTTGCTCCATTTCTTTCTGCGTTAGTGTGAAGATTATGTTGGAGATGGGAAATCCAAGACCACAGGAATGACAATGAAGACAACTGTTGTTTATAACAAAAGAGAGATACATTAGTTTATATTTTTTTTATAGTAGTAAAAATAGATAATTTGTTTAAATAATGATATATATAAAAAAAAATGAAAAGAATTAATTGTAGTTGCAATTAGAATAGGTAAGAGATTAGAAAATTTTTTAAGCTAAATAATCTTGCGATTGTTCAATTATGTGATCGATATTGTATTAGTTTAAAATTTTAAAATTGGTGGTTGGTCCTATTTAAAACCCATGTGTTTCATGATTTCAATAAAGTTAAAATGTTTGTGGCCGCAGTCTATATTATTTTTAAATAAATATGTTTTAGGTCTTAATAAATCATGGAATTTACTTTTATTTCCTTATATATATTTTTTAATTATTTTGTCTGTAGTAAATTTTTTACTTTTGTTTTTTATATTAAATTTTTTTATATGAAATAAAATGTTTTAAATTACACTCTGGGATAAAAATAAAATAAATAATGTATTATTAATGAAAAAGTTAAAAAATATATCAACGAAAAGCAAATTTTAATAGTTTATTAGAGAAAAAAAAAT